GAAGAAGAAGAAGAAGAAGAAGAAGAAGAAGAAGAAGAAGAAGAAGAAGAAGAAGAAGAAGAAGAAGAAGAAGGCATAACTATCCATTTAAATTTAGCAGTGTTTGGAGGAGCTTTGTTAGTGCATCACACACTATATCTAGAAAGCACTGTCGTGCTAACATGGCACCTGGAAAGTCCCAGAAGTTCCCAACAAAATTTCAGGGCATTTTTCTGTCTTCTGCCGCTACTCTAACCTCTCAAGCTCTGATGTCCAAGGTGAACACCACTGCTCCTCCAACTCCCTGAGTGACTTGGCCTGATGGATTTGTCAGCAGTCTCCAGCTCAAGGAAAACAGGGAAATGAACTTTGTGCTCCCGTGGAAAGCCCTGGTCAGTCTGCTTTGGGAGCTGAATGCATCGACAAGTCCAGAGAGAACCCTTTCCATGGAACTCCCCACTAGGGCTAAAAGTCTAGTTCATTTCATACAGTCATAGGTCATCATGTCTTTACCTGCAGAGCTGGGTGAAGCTAGACTCTGACATCTGAGGTCATCTTCCTAGAGGTACAGGGTGTGAGCTGTCAGTCAGACATAGCAATAATTTCATCTGTTCCTGTCAATCAGCATCCAACTGCTTCTGACCTTCCTGGTGACAGAGTCAGTTCCCCAAGGCAAAAGCCACAGGCTTCATCTCCCCTCAGCAGCTACCACTGGCCTGCCAAGAACAGAACACAGGTGTCGTTCCTTTCCCTTCTTGCTCTTGGTTTCTATGGAGAGAGAAGGGCACATTTGGCTCCAGACTGACAAACACATGAACATTGGGTCCAGAGAATACCTATAAGGTCAGAGCTCTGGCCTCTTGTTGAGTGTGCAGGAGCTCAGCAAATGATTGAGACTCGAGGAGAGTGGACAATCAGGAGGAAAGACAATGACATTTCTCACTTTTACATACTAACATTTATGTCAGACTCGGCCATAGGGAGTCTACGCGGACCCTTTCCCAAGACAGCCCTGCTGGTGTCAACATAAACACCTGAGGATTCTGGAGAATTCTTCAACCTGAAACACTAAAGGAAGTGTTAACAGCCACGTACCTGCCGCCTAGGTTAAACAATGGGCCTTTTCAGGGAATTGTTTGCTTTGTTCAAGTCTAAAACATTTCCTCAAGAGATCAGATAAAGAAAAAAAGAAAAAAGAAAAACGGAAGAAAAGCAGTCAAGAGCAATGTCCCCCACATGTGATTTATTACTATTAAGATGTTTATTATGAGTGACTGAGAAGCCAAGGAAAATGGCACTGAGTTTTTATTCTACTGCATGGACTGACTTTGTGGGAACCTGGTTTGTTTGGATGCTCACCTTTATAGACCTGGATGGAGTGGGGAGGACCTTGGACTTCCCACTGGGCAGGGAACCCTACTGCTCTTAAGACTAAAGAGTGAGGGGGAGGGGGAGAGGGGAAGGGAAAAGGGAGGCAGGGAGGAGGTGGAAATTTTTAATAAATAAATAAATAAATTTTTTAAAAAAAGATGTTTATTAAGAGAATACAGGAACTGGGGCTATAACTCCGTAGTTCTAACCCCAGCAACACACAAAGTAAATCTTCAAACAAAATTTAAATAGAAAAGTTATATTAAGACAAAGCACAGCCAAATATGATGGAGCCAGCACTTGAGAAGCTGAGGCAAGGGATCCTGAGTTTGAGTCTAGAGTTAGCCTTGTCAACATAGCAAGACCCTTGCGGGTGGGAGACCAAAACACTGTGTCTCACATGTGTGTGTCCTGAACCTATAAAAGCGTTTGGATCCCCCAGGCGTGGTGTTGTACATCTGCCATCTCCATATTTTGCAGACTAAACAGAAGGATGGTCTCAAGCTCAAGGCCAACCTGGGCTACATAATGACTTCTAGACCTGTCTTAACCTATAGGCTAAGACCCTATCCCAAAAAACCAAAAGAGAAGAAAAAACCCAATGTCCCCAGCCTGGGACATCCCCTAATTCGATTGTTCTTTTCTCTCATTTCAGGTAACTCAGTACTTACTGGATCAATCTTTTGTAATGGACGAAGAAAGTCTCTATGAGTCTTCTCTCCGAATAGAACCAAAACTCCCCACCTGAAGCTACCCTCAACCTGCCCCAGCTACCCCCCATGGACATCTGCTATATGATATTGTACATAATCGTTTAGCTCCTCTGGATTTCTTCTTCACTATGTGCTTCTCCAAGAATACAAATCTGTTCTTGTTCTTAGATTCCTGTAGAACCGGAATATGAATTTCCTCACTGTCTCAGACTTTGCCCCGCCCCCTGCGGAGCCTGTTCCTTCAAACAGCTGCACCCCCTGTCAGCTCTCCCAGACCCTCACTCCAATCAGAAGGAGAGACAGAACCACGTGACACAAGTCTCAAACTCCAGCCCTGCTTTGTCCCTCCCAGTCCAGGCCCCTGGGTTAGCTCTGGCCACCCAGGCATCCTCTCCAGCATGTTCCATGTAGTTGTTATAACTGGGTGGGGGGAGGGGGAGGAGGGAAGGGAAAGCCATACCTGCAAGTCCAGTCCTTGACACCCCTTCCTGCTGATGGTGATGCCCCTTTCCAAAGCAGCTTCTTCAGCCAAAATTGCAGGTCTCAACAGTCCCCATCTGTCAAATCCCAGTAAACCTGGCTGGAAGGGAGTCCTCTCAACTGAGAACCACGCCCCTTGCACCAAATGCCACCACTTCTGGCACCATGCTGCCCTCTGCTCTAGGATTAACACCAGATAGCATGAAAAGCAGGCTCAGCAGAAGTGGACACAACCCTGGAACTTCTCTAGGAAAATGTCATGGTGACTCTGGCCAACCTCTGCCCAGCCTCCGCTGGAAGTCAGGAACACAAAAACGTCACTTCTCCTCTTTCAGCTGCCTGACAGTCACTACAAGCTTATGTTGAGATGCCCTGAGTCTGTATACTTTGTGGTAATTAGTCCCATGACGTAGAATTAGGAAATCAATAACCGAGTGTTTTTATTGCATATACTGTAGTCCTGTCTAAATGCCTTCTAGCAGGAATATAGTGAGGTAGTGCTTATTCTGTGAATATTACCATGATTTTTTTACATTGTACAGTAGAGAGAACACTCAGAATTGGCAGGCATGCTCCATTACAGCAGACAGACAACTTTTGCTGTAAGCAATACCTAGTGGTATGAGAATTCTATTTCAAGCCCTAAAATATTTCAACTTACAGCTTGTTTGGAAAAAATTTCCATTTTTGTAAAAATATATGTTTCCTGATTACCTCTTGCTAATAAATCTATTCTATCTCAGGGTGAACGGTGCATTTTGATGGGTTTCATTTGTTCCCACAAGAAATACTGGATGAGAGTTGTTCCTTACCAGTCCCTGAGCTGGCAGAGAACTCTCAAGTGACAGTGACATCATCCTTGCTTTGGTCTGATGAGGTTGACTGCTTCCATCGCCCATTGTCCCCAAAACCAATCACTCAGAAAAGGAATGGTCTAAAACTACTTGCATTACTTTCCCCAGTTCTGCGGGTTTAATGGGCCCCACTAGCATCCCTTGCTTGTGGACTCTCGTGAGACTTCAATCAACTGTACAGGAGCACGGGCTGCAGTCCTGTGAAGGTGCCACCTGTCGATACCCAAGATGGTGGTCTTACACAGCTGGACGTTGATGTTTTCCAGGTGCTCTAAGACTGTCAACAGCGTCATTCACAGTAGCATCTTTATGTGACTTGGGTGTCTTGCGGTGTCCAGGAGTGACCACTCCAAGTCTCAGGAAGAAATACACAAGGGCTTCTTTCAAACTAGTCTCAGAATGACATACAACAGTCTACATGTCAAACACGAGGAGAGAGGGTTTCTGTTCTTCTCAATGGGAAAGGGAAGGGAAGAAATGTGGAGCCATTTTCTGATGACTAGAGAAACAGACTGTAAGAGCCACACTGCCAGGCACAGGTGCAGAAAGTACCTTGGGGACGCCAAGGAAAGGTGGGGTGAAAGTGAGAATAGGAAGAGACCTCCACAAGAGTGGACACCAAGACTGAGAGAAGATGATCTGCCAAGCAGATAGGGTGGGGAGGCGTGTGCCAATAGGGAGGGGCATGCAAAAAGGCCCAGATGCGGGAAAGAGTTAGAATGTCTGTGAGATGCTAGCATGAATGAGCAGGGTGTTCAAGTTGTCGGGAAAGAAATGGAGATACGGGGGAGGACATCAAACCATGGGAGACCTGGAAGAGGCCTGGCAAAATGGCTCAGTCGGTAAAGGCTGCTCTTGCTGCCCAGCCTGACAACCTGAGTTCAATCCCTGAGACTCTCATGATGGAAGGAGAAGACTGAATTGTGCAAGCTGTCCTTTGACCTCCACATGAGCACTGTGTCACATGTACACACGCATGCGCGTGCACGCACACACACACACACACACACACACACACACACACGCAAGCACACAAATAGAAATCCAGAGCAAAGGATCCAAAGGGCAGAGCACTCAAGGCTTGGGAGATACCATGTCTGCACATACTGTGCTGTCCAAAGCATCCAGGGATAGCAGCGGAAGATGAGCAGAACAGCAAATGGGAATGGCCGAGCACTGCCTGCAAGAGGAGGTAGCTGGTCACCACTTAGGTCTTTCACTCTGAGTCGTGGGCTCAAGCCCCACCTCAGATGTCTCCTCACTGTCACCCATAACCACCACCACCACCACATGTCGGGGGGCCTCCTGTGAGGTGTGGTCTACTTCTGGTGCTTCCTGAGACCAGCTTCCCAAAGACATGAAGCCAGCTGGCTCTCTAATTGCTCTTCAGTTCCTGCCGTTCGTGGTGAGGCTAAAGGAAGGGCAAAGCGGAGATACAGTGCTCTCTGAAGGATGAAGTCTAGATTTAACTCCCAGCTTCACCCCTGTAGTTGTCAACCTTCATTGTCAACTTGCCTAGACTTAGGATCACCTAGGAGACTCACTTCCAACCATGTCCAGGAATGTATTTTCAGAAGGGTCTGAGTGAGGCAGGAAGACCCTCCCTAAACACAGTTGGGTTCCCATGGCCTGAGCTCCATGACTGAACTCCACAGAGGACGCCAGAGTACAACTAGCGTCTCTCCCTTCTTCCTGACGGTGGATGCAACATAACCGGCTGCCGCATGCTCCAGCTGCCATGTCTTCCCCACCATGATGGGCTTTGTCCCTTAAACTACTTTCTGTCAGGGATGTAGTCACAGTACCAAGAAAAGTCACTAATATTTGCTGGCTAAATGAGACCAGCAAAGTCACTCAACACTCAGAGACTCAGTTTCCTTACGGGAAAAAGTGAGTATGAATAGAGTATCTGCAACTAGAGAGATGGCTCTGTAGAGTCAAGAAAACTGAGCCAGGCAGTGGTGGCGCACACTTTTAATCCCAGCACTTGGGAGGCAGAGACAGGTGGATCTTTGTGAGCTCGAGGTCAGGCTGGTCTGCAAGAGTTAGTTCCAGTACAGACTCCAAAAAACAGCAAAAACGCTAGCTTCAAAAAACAAAACAAACAAACAAAAAACTGGCTGCTCTTTCACACGAGCCAGGCTCTAATCCTAGTACCCACATGGTGGCTCACAATGGTCTGCAACTCCGGTTCCAGCATGCAACAGTCTCTTCTGGTCTCCACAAGGCACTAGGCATACACCTGGTACACAGACACCCACACAGTGCACAGACACATACTCAATCACAACATCCATACACAAAGGAAAATTCTATTGCTTCACAAAGTAGAATTAATTGAGCCAACATAAGCCATACATCACTAATTGAAAACCCAAAATCCAAAATGCTCCTACACCTAAAACTCCTTGATTTCCAAACATGGTACCACAAGTGGAAAATTTCATAGTTGATTTCATGAGATGGATCACATCAAAATAGTGCATGAGGGGCTGGAGCCACACATAAGCCATCAAGATCACCTACCTACTCCTCTTTCAGAGGACCTGGGTTCAGTTCCCAGCACCCACTCTGCAGCTCACAGCCATGTAAAACTCCAGTTTTACATGGGGCCCTGACAATTGATGCACAGACATAAATGCAAACAAAACACTCACACACTTAAAAGAATTTTTAAAATAGTGTATCAAATTCCCTTCAGGCTATGTGTGTAGGTGCAGAGGAAATAGTGCACACATTTCACTTTTAGACTTAGGCTACAAGTCCCCAGATATCTCATTTTATATAAATGCAACATTTTTTAAATAAAAAAAAAAATTTAACCACAAAGCACTTCTAGTCACTGTTTGGGTGGAAATCCCATCCCAAGCCCCCTCCCCTGGGAGTTGCCTCAGTCTGGACTCCACCCTAGAGAAAGCCTGCCAAACAATGACCCCTCCCCAGAGATGCTCAAGACCACTCCCACAAGGTATTTAAACAGCAACCCAGAGAACAAACTTGTGGTTTTCCAGTCTTCCTTCCCGTCTCCTCTCTAGGGGCTGGAAGGCCACTCGGAAGTGCTGGTATTCATTAAACCTGGGCTTTTCTAATTCAGTTTGATTTAGTCTGATTTGGATTATTGCGTCAGCGGAGAGGTTTATCGGGTCGCAAAAAGTTTCCAGTCACAAGTACTTCAGATAAATACTCAACCTTAAAATACTTGGCATAGAATAAATAGATGCGGTGGCTCTCACTTCCAATCCCAACTGGAAGCTGAAGCAGAAAGATTGAGTACTCAAGTTTGGAGTACATAAGACAGTATCTTAAAAAATAAATAAAAATAAACCAGGCTAAGGAGACGGCCCAGTCAGTAAACTGCCTGCCATGAAGACACGCAAACCTAGCTTAATCTTCTAGACCCTATGTGAAAATGCTAAGCATGACGACCTGTGACTTCCACATGCATGCATTCACCAGCTTACACATGAACACACACAAGTTGGCTGGTCATCTCAAGACTGCTTTTCTTATAGAGGAGGGAGAGTCAGACAATAGAAAAATAACTTCTTGCTTAGCATAAGGTAACTTCTGGTGTGCAGATTAAGACAGAAAGGGACATGAGAATGATCTGACTGTGAAAACTGTCACCCTGTTGATCACCAGGCTTGGCGCAGCTGATCTGGCTGACTAGGCAGGTGTCCCCTTCCTCCCTCATCGATCCATGTGCATGCCTGAAACTGTATTCTTCCCAAATAGAAAAGGACTCAGAATATGTGTAGCGCTCTCCCTGCCCAGAACCTCCAAGCAAACTCTCAGAACTGAAGGTACTTCATTCTGCTGTCACCAACCTGTTTGAAAATTTGGCTGTTATCTCTCCTTCATCTGGCTATGCTTTGTTTTTTGTTTTTGTGGGTGTTTTTTGTATGCTTATTTTGGTTTTGGTTGGATGTTGTTAGGTTTGTTTTTGAAACAGGGTCTCATTGTGTAGCCCTGGCTGGCCTGGAGCTCGCTACATAGACCAAGCTGGCCTTGAACTCATTCATAGAGATCTGCCTGCCCAGTGTTGAAATTAAAGACATATGCCACCACATCCCACCTTTGGTTTTAAAGGTCAGATAAAAAGCTTAGTTTGGAGTTGGTGATGTGGAACTTGAATGTGAGTGACTCTGATTTGTTTTTCAAATTTGTTTTTCAAATCAGAGTGCTTTTCAAATCTTGTTGAAGCCCACCGCAGAACATAGACCAAAACTACAGCCTCCTGTAATGGTATGTAATATTCTTCTATAGGAAGGAAGGCTTGGTTTCCTCATCAAACCCAGAAACTATCTAGATCACCTATCTAGCCATCTTGTTCCAGAAATCTCCCATCTCTACTTTACAAATGCTGGCATTACAAGATGTTTTCTAGATCACCCAGCATTTACGTGGTGCTGGGGATCCAAAACTCCAGTGGTCAGCTTGGACAGCAAGAACTTTTAAGCACTGAGTCATTCCCCAGCCCACAAATAACCTTTAATGTAACGTTTTTAAAAATCAAACTTCAGAAATCAGCAATGCCCCAGATGCCAAACTTGTATATTAGGCAAGATCAGGGACACCAGTATTTTCCATTGTGGTGGTTTGAATAAAATGGCCCTCATGGGTTCCTAAGGAGTAGCCCTAATAGGAGGTATAGCCTTATAGGAATAGCTATGGCCTTGTTAAAGGAAGTGTGTCACTGGTGGTGAGCTTTGAGGTTTCAAATGCTCAAGCCAGTCCCATGTCTTTCTTCCTGCTGCCTGCAGATCTGAGTGTAAATCTCGCAGTTCCTTCTCCAGCATCATGTCTTCCTGAGTGCCACCATGTTTCCCACCATGATGATAATGCAATAAACCTCTGAACTGTAAGCCAGCAGACCCAATTAAATGTTTTCCTTT